ATGTGTTATTTTGGTAAAAATGAACTAAGTATTTGAAAATAAAATGTCAAATGCTGTTCTTATTTTTATTTTCACATAGTTAGAAAATGGCATTTTAATTTTAATTTTGAACTAAAAAGACCATGAGGATATGAGCTGTTTTGCTAACTGCAGTCCACTTTAGAGCAGGTTAAGCCTTTGAAAATGAAATGTCAAATACTGTTTCCATTTTCATTTTAATACGGTCCTAGAATGCTCACACAAGTATGTGATAATGAAAATGAAAATTGGCAGATTGCATTTTCAATTTAATTTTTACCTAAATAACACATACATATGTGGAAAATGATAATGTTATTGTGGGATCACATTTTCATTTTCAAGTTTATGCTTCCATACACTGCAGTCACACAAACTAATGATCAGGAAGTCAGGTATAGGCCTGAGGAAATACATACAAAAAGACCTGTTGGCAAAAAATACTTTTCTTAAAGATGAATTTTGCTCTCTTATGTGTGTGTGTGTGTCCGTGCGCAGTGAAGGCTTAAACAGCGCAGAGGAAACACTAACCATGGACTGTTCATCATGGTCTTTCTCCCCACACCCTAAAGCATAAAAGAAGAGATACAGACTCACAAGCTATGAACTGGTAGTAAAAACAGGGAAATCTTGGTTTACTAATCTTCACAACATGCATTAGGCTAAATGTATCTCAAATGTAGCCAGCAATTGCCATCACAGGACTATACTGTTGGAATGATCTGCAGACTATACAATGGACACTATTATTATTATATGACAACATAAAACAAAGCAGGTTAGTGCTGAATGCTCTGGTTGATATTACAGCCTTAAAATGTGATGTCAGCAGCTGTTTGTACTAATTATAGGAGCTGAACTGGTGTGATGCGGACTGGCACTGACAATATCTGAATAATCATGTACGCATAAATCATCCACTGGCCACCCACCCACTTAATTTTTTTCTGACATCTAGCCCACCTCTTATGGTCCTTTTGATATTCCAGGTGGTTTCTTTATTGGGTTGTATTGTATGAGTGTTTTCTTTAACAATTTACTTTCATGATTAGAGAGGCTGTTGACAGTCATTTTAAATGTTTTCATGCATGCAGTCATGTCACTGCAAATATTTTGGGACATTTATGCAAAAAACTAAAAACTGAAGTTATAAACTTGACAGGACAGAGGAAACTCTGCAAAGGAAACAATTCAACTTAAAGCTTTTGAAATGTTAGACACTCTGATGGAGCTCAGGAGGAAGGCTGCTTTACTCCAGACAGTTTTTCTGTATGAACCTGGATTATGTGTGAGTAACTTATTGTTTTGTCATTTTACAGAGGTTAACTGTAAATTGCAGTGCATTATGGGTCCAAAATAATTACAGTTGTTGACAGCATTTTTCCACAGTAACATATTGTAAAATTACAGACAAACTGCGTTTTAACTGTAGATATTACAGTAAAATGCTGTTGATATCGGATTACATTGCAAAAGAGGAGCTGTTGTGGCTACCAGAGCTGATCGCAGCCATTCTAGTCAATGCTTGTGCTCAGACGTCACCCGGGTCAACAAGGTCCGTGTCAGGTGCTAGGGAACCAGGGCAACCTGACAGGGGGCAGCTCTTGTATTTGCATTTCACTCATGCATTATTATTATTGATAACCTATAGCCTACATATAATCACGGAGGTCCAGACCTCAGTGAACTCATAGCCGGTTACGGCCACGCTACCATATATTGGCAATAATAACTAACCTGTATTGTGGAATAATTACGGATGCTATGAGCCAATACAGATCAGATTTTTTATGACCTTTGATGTGTTAAGTGTTAATCAGCTCAGATATCAGAAAGGCTATGTCATAAATCATTGATCCTTTAAAATGTCAGATGCTTCACACCAACTCTAATCTTCTCATGTGGTCCTTTAATTTATAACACTGTTTACCATCTCACATGCACCTTCAAACCAACACGACATGCTTGACAATTTACAAATGAGAATATCAGAAAAAGTTTCTGCTCTTTTAAAATGCTTGATAGTTTATTTGTACAGCAGGTTGTCCCTTTTATAGTTTCAGTTTCTAACAGCCACATGATGAAATGACAGGAGCGTTGTTGATCATATGAGAACAAAGAAGGAAGAGAACAGAAACCTAAAAAAGGAAACAGAAGGAGAGAGCTTTTTTTCCTGTAAATTCCATAAATTGTGATGTTTCAATTATGCACGCACGCACGCTGTAAATTAAATCAGATTACAGTGGAATGTGTGTATGATTCATTAACACAACTTATACAAAAGGTTAACTACTGTAGCAGTTTAGACATGTGGAGCTGCAATGTCTGGCTGGTATGATGAAACACACACACATGCACAGGCAAATGCTTACACAGAAGGTGATGTTGAAATGCAAAGGTTGGAATATATGTGCAATTTCCTTGCCAAGCCTTTGATATTTATTTTTATTTTATTTAAGTGCAAATCTGCAGAAACAGTAATAGAAGTCTGCAATTACAGATAAAAACAGACTTTTCAATCCAGGCTTTAATTTGTTAATTGCTTTGTTTTTTGTAAAACAATTAAATGGAGAAAAAAGACACTTGATGTAGTTATTGGTTTTCACCAAGATTGATAAGCCCAACCTAAAAAAGTCAAGTCACCACTGTTATCAAAACATACCTTCATTCAGGTTAATATTTCAGCAGCCTAATGGAGCCATCACAGGTCCAGTAATCAGGGGCTAACTTTATGGCTTCCATCACTCTGAATTTTCCTGGTGCTTCAGGTGAAGTAGCTGCTAATCAAGGTTTAGTGCTGCGGTAGTGCTTTATGAGCTCATACTAAAACTGTTTGACCTTTTGTACTGACCAGTGCACTCTCATCATAGCACTTTGTGTGCTGTTACTTGTCTTTAAACAGAGCATCATTAATGATTACATCCACCTAAATGACTTTATACACCACGTAATAGGATGAAGGTGTTGGTGTGTAAAGGTGAGCTGATTAAGACATAGCCACAGCTCTATTTTTACTCTGTTAGTAGCATAGCTCTAGGGCTGACAAGGTCTGATGGTCGGTCCAATCCAATTTTATTTTGATAGCTCTTTAACAATGCGTTTGTCGCAAAGACACTTTATAGACAGAAAGACAATTTATAATTTTAAAGAATACCATTGTCCACATCATCTTTCTTTATCTCACTCTTACTGGGAAGGCCGTTTAAGGTAACGCTCTACTTCACTCTGTACTGGAGCATTGTGGTAGTGACTCATCTTACATTTAATTAGTAGTATCAGAATTTAGAATACCAATTGACTTTCTTATGGATGTGACGCTGACAGTCGCTTGACTAAATGCTTCCTTGTGAAGCCCAGGATTTAGACTGGAGTAGGCTAAATCTAGTTTTGTATGTAAAATATTACAAAATGTCATATAGGATTTCATATTCATATTTTCTTGCCTTATCATCCCATATCTCACTAGGAGAGTTTAACTTGATCAGCAGGCTCTCCAATGCTCCAATGAACTTTTAGGGTTAGCTCCCTACTGAAAAGCCCTGTATTTAACATGGTGTTAAAGATCAAACTTCTTCACAATACTATACATAATATACTGTGTATTTATCATTGATTCAAATATTTGTTTTCTTAGTTCTGTTAGCTTACTTCCAAATTTTGCTTGAAGCCCCGACGCAATGCTATTACTAATAATAAAAGTATGCATGATTTAGTGATTTAATTTAGTCTAACTTAAGCAATTATGCGCTACTTGTATTTATGCAGCCACAACAAGATAAATAACACATTGTTTTCCTCCAGAGGGGCAGCTCACCTAAAGAGGGCAAATGGCTGTTGCTCAGGCAACATTAGCCTGGCCTTGTGCGTGTCTTTGATCAAACTACTTATTTATAATCGATATCTAATCATCACATCCTCAGCTCGAAAATCTCTCTCAGGCTCACTGTGCTGAATCGAAGTTGTAGGAGGATGCAGGCATGTGGTGGAACTCAGGGTAGGGCAGGGCTCTGTGGAGTGTGGAAGGGCAAACAGATGCAAAATAAAACAACACTCCGGGCACCAGCACAGCCCCTGGCAGTCTGCTCGACCCGGCACAGACACACATAAACACGCACTGTACACATACCCTGTGTTTACACACAGCGTAGGCGGCACTCAGATTGGCGGGTGATTCTGCTCCCACTCTGTTCACTCAACCAGAGAATTAAGAAAATCTATCCACAGATGCTGAGTTTCAACCAGTCACGCGAGAAGCCAACATTTGTGCCCTTTTCAACCAGTAACAGCAGGGGCTCTGAGACAGCAGGTGTGCACGAGCACGCATGCACACACACACACACACACACACACACACACACACACAATCTCTTACAACCCTGCCTTGAAACTAAGCCTTGAACACAGACACACACATGAGATGGGCTGGGCTGCTCTGTCAAGGGCTAGGTAGCTTTAAAAAATCCACATAAGCACCCAAGAGATCATTACAGATTAGCTGCATCACATCTCAATGAGGCTGATTAGGTGGTCTGCAGGGTGTGACCACTATCAAGCAGTCATGCAGTTTACCTGCTGATCAGTCTCATTAGTAAAGGAGGGCATGGCCATGGGTGCCTTCTGGATGTTATGTAAAGAATTTGACTCCCTTTGTTGCTGCTTCATGGAAATCTCCTTTCAGCAGGAGTGTTTGGTTTGGATCAAGACTTGAGCCGTGTCTTAAAGCAGAGCACAGTATTAATTACAATTTGATTCTTAAGTTGATCCCTGTAGGGAAAGTCTTTTGTCTTGCCTTAATCCAGGGCAGAGCAGGTCAAAGCATTTCTGGAGCCGTCAGGGAGTCAGTAGCTAACTTATATTTTGGCCTTCATTTGATAGTGACAGCAGAGACGCAGGCAGCCAATGTGGGAAGACTGAGAGAAGAATGAGACACTGAACACATTTTCCGGACCAGAATCAAACCAGTGACAGTTACTCAGCAATAATAACTTATGAGCAGGTTTACTGTAGTGTGTTCACACTGAAAAATTACAAAATTGAGAACACTTAAAACAGTCGAGTGCATACTAAACAACACATTCGCACCTGCAAAACATTAAAATACATTTTTACATCTTTAGAAAGACATTTTGCTTTTTCTTCGATTGGAAGTCACACGATTGATGTTTTTTTTGACACATACAGCAATCAAGTAGCAACAATATTATTAATTTGTCACTAATTTAATCCATTGTTAACATAAAAATATTGATTAGAGCAGCTTTAGGTATGTTGATTTCTTATACACTATCTGCTAAAACACTATGCGGCATTGGGACACAGGAAGTGTATTACTTAAAGACAGGCAGGGTGGAAATTGGCCAATACAGCGGCTTCAACCTCATTTCTCTCGTTCACCTCTTACAGCAACTGTGTGGAAATTTTGCCTTTGCGACAAAACAAAAAGACACGATCACCTGGAAAAAACAGAGCATTTGGCAGTGGAGTGTACATGTACATGGTTATGTTATTATGATTAGTATATGTTTAATGTGGCTTAAGTTACTAAAACAAAATCCCATTATGCCAAATTCTCAGGTTTTTTTGTGCATTTTTATGATTTTTCTTGGCTGGGGTTCTGCTTCTGGTTGTTGCTTTTTCTGTTGTGTACATGTGCTCTACATGAGCCACAACTTGCCCCGACATGCCTTTTCGTCAACCTCAGGAGTTGTTCCTGAAAATAAATGCATGTCTGTCTTTTAAATACTGTGTACAGTACATTTCCATATGCTTGAAACCTTATATCAAGCCCGTGGCACTCAAAGTGAATGGCATGTTTAGACAGAAGGAGGTACAATTTACAACACCTTTAACAGTCTGTCACATGTTAGTTCATACTGTATACAGGAATAACACCAAACAAAGCCAGGCTTCAGATGTGCTGAAAGGATATGAAATGTATTTTAAAGTACAGAATAATAATAATCAATTAAAACAGAACACATGTGCAAGGAGAGTCAGGAGTAAAAGCAAGTTATCTTTACAGTGTAAATCAACAGATTTGTAGCCACCAGTGAAGTGTACAGTAACACACCGAGACACTCGCATACATGCACACCAAGCTGCAGCTCGGGTTGAAGGAATTCAGTGTGTTGAATACAGTAAATGACTCGCAGATGACAGATTGTCTCAACAGCAGAGGTTACCTATTTGAAGTTCTAGGCATATGTGTGTTGTGCAGTAATTTAAAATAATTGATCTGGGATAGTCTGAACTGTACAGCTACTGTTTTGAACTTTTCTGCTGAAACGGCATCTATTTGCCCTTTCTACACAGATGGGTCGACGTGTATTCAAAAGGTGAAAAAACAGGAAGTGAAATGGACTGGATCTTTTGTGTTACGCTTCCTGTGAGCTACTGCTAACTAACTGAAGTTGAAAACGTACTGGATCAGGGAACAAAAGCGTGGAAGACTAGAAATACGAAGGAGAAATCAAAAATAGTTCACCGTTGACCTATGAATACGAGCACCACCATCCAAGATCTAACATAATTTAGCTTATGTCAATATTCATCTTTTATAAGAGAAAAACAAACAAACAAAAAATAAACACTTTGTCGTGATGTGAATTTCTTCACCCGTCCCTTCATCACACTTTCTTGTCACACTTCACTCATCTTACTTTTTCTTTGGAAATGTTTCATCTTTGTATTACTTTCTTGTTATGTGAGTGTGGTCAATAACATGTTCTTTGTTTGAGCTTGTTCGATATTTATAAGGACCTTCTTTGGCTTTTTTTTTTTTTGCCCTGTTGCATCAGACACAGTTAAACAAACCTTGCACGAGAATAAAACACTGACATTCAAAAGACACAAACATACAAGTACAGGTGCAAATGTAACTGTTTACAGTAGAGACCTGGACAGTGCTGTCTTTGGGGATTGTTGGCCAAATCACATGTCCATTTATATTTTGTTAATTTTTATTTCTTTTTTAACCTCAGCCCCATTTTTGTTCTATTTCCATCCTCTATTTTGGGTCCAACTACCTCAGTATTTCATCTTTCTATTTACACATTCTGGAGCTGGGAAGAGGATAAAGGTCGAGGTAGGGAGTCGTCTTAACGTCTCGTTTGACTTTCTCTTCCCGGGCCTTCCACAACCTCCACTGGTCGACCTTACCATTTGGAGGATTATTAGGTGCAGTTATGAACCCTCTGGAAGATCCAAAGGGTGGGGAAGGGAGTCCACAGTCCTGTTCGCCGGTCCCTCTCTGTCTTCCACATTTGCTGTATGTCTTTCAGAGGCTGGGGGAGTATGTGTCCATCAAGGGTGGTGTGTATTCCGAGTCTGGTGAGGAGGTCCTGGAGGCGTGTGACGGTGCTCACTAGCTGCTTCTTCTCCTCCTCCAGTGCAGAAACCTGCTGCCTCAGCCGGCCCTCTGACTGGGCAAAAGCCTCCACTCGGCTCTCCAAGCTGCAGACGCGAGCATGTGACACCTATGTGGAAGGGAGTGATGGTCGAAATGAACAAAGTAAAAGAGAAGATAACTTGTCTTTATTTGTGTGTGTGTGTGTGTGTGTGTGTACCTGCAGCTCCTCAAGCAGGTCGAGGTTCTGCTGTCGGAGGCTCTGATTGGTCCTCTCCAACTGTGCAGTTCGCTGGTGTTGGTTGAGGGACGGGGGCGTGTCCAGCAGCTCATCCTGCAACACATGGTACTCTACCTCATAGGCCTGGAGCTGCTTGGACACGTCCATCTCACAAACCTAATGGACACAGAAAGTATTAACAATGTGCAACAGTTTTAAAAAGTTTTGTCGTTTAACGATCTTGAATGAATATTTAAAAAAGCTAAACATTAAAGGTTCAGTGTGTAAGTTTTAGTGGGATCTAGTGGTGAGGGTTGTGAATTGCAACCAGCAGCTCACGGTGCATTCATGGAGTAGTATGTAGCTGCAGTACAGGAGGCTGCAGTTTCAGGACCGCAATCCTAGAACCGGAAACCATTTCTACGACCCTTGTATACTCTGATACTGCCAGCTAGCTCACGGCCGACGTGCTAGCAGACAGGGTTAACCTCCTTCGTGTTGCTGTAAATTACCACCACTGCTACACTAGATGGTGCTATCACAAAAGAACTGCGGTCCCAGGATTGCAGGGGTCCTGAAACTGCAGCCTCCGGTACTGCAGCTACTTAATGTTGCATTCATGTGCTCCTTGGATGGCCCCATTTCCCGAGTTGTTCTTCCGACTTCAGTGTGTGTTCATGTGCTCTTAAGTTGGAATGTGGAATCAACATGGACAGCAAACTAACTGTATTACAAATTACATGTTTGCAAGATTTTATATCAAAAATCAAAGTTGTTTCTTCTTTATGTCCCATGTGTACTACACAAGATTTAAGGAGGAAAAAAGATTCTGATTATTCCGACACCACATGAATGCACCTATCAGTCACCACTCGCCCCTCCCTTTCCAAGCGCGCAGGAGTAGCTATGGTGGCCGACACGCTCTGTTAGCTCTTGTGCTAAATAATAGGTATGGGCCTCTGTTTGTCCAAATTTCTCTTTTCTTACTTCTAATAAACCAGATGACCACTACTACTACAACAACAAACGTTTCTTCTTCTTCGTACATAGTGCAATATGTACGAACATGGCAAGTTCCATGTAAGGGGACCCATGGTGTATGGAGATAGAAATGGCTTATTGTAAGGTAATAAAAATGTAACGGTGCCTTGCAGCTTAAAGCTGGAGTTCAAATCAAAATTGCGATTTGAAAGAACGCGATTAGCCAATCATGAAGACAGCGATTAAAATGTAAGGTTAATTATACAGTGCATCTGACCCGTTTGAAACAGTCATGCAGTTACAAATTCATTCTGTTGTCTGTGACAGACCCTGCTCGCCAATCACACGCGCCATGCGCCTCCTGTTACGGTCCTACTCACCAATCACAGCAGCCACAGGGCATGTACATTTTATAACAACGAAACTAGAGGAAAACCTATACAGTCTATGAGGAAAACATGGGATAATGGCGCCAGCCGAACAGACAAAGGCAGCGGCTGTGCCGCAGTTTTGTCCGGCGTCAATTCACACTTAAGTGTTGATCACAAAATTATTGATTATTTCATTAGTCAGTTATGAAAATCAAAAAAAGAATAAAGGTCCAAATTTCATTTTGATATTTAATTTGTCCAATTTACGTTATCAGGAAGTTGCTGACGTCTTTTGCACTTGACAAACGTTCAGCAAATACACTTGGGTGATGGGAGTACCTGATTAAATGTAATAAATATGAGCATGAACATCAACATAGTTTTTTTTATTATACAACCTAATAGTTACACAGTTATATTATTTAAAAAAAGGATGCTCACTGTGTGCGTGTACTGGTACATGAATAGGAACGCTTCAAAACTTCCTGAGAAGCCTTTTTGTTATTGTCTGTACATCCAAAAGTACACAAGGAAAAATAAACTGTTATTAGTTAATTTGGCAAACATCATTTTCCAAATTGTAAGCAAATATAAAATGGGAACTCACGTTGCTGCTTGCAATATACTTTCTGTTTCTTGTAAATTTATCTGTTCATACAAGTAAAAAACTTTTGGACAAAGTTGGACAAAGCCCACATTATTGTTCAAGCTCATATTCATTACATTAAATCAGGTAGCCAAAGTGAAAGCAAAATACCAAGTCGTGTTTTAATTTTCTGATTTTGGATTCTCAATTGGATATAAAAAGAAGGAATGATACCGATTTAGTAAAATCAACTTTTGCCTTTGTTTCCTCTTCCAAATAAGTTTGGCTTACCTGTTTAAAACTTCTAAAATCGTCTGACTGTTTGTTATAGCAATGTTGCTGTGTCCTCTGCTCTCAGGAATTACAGGAATGACTATGAACAAAAGGTTTTGTGAAGCTGGTGAAGTGTTTCCTTTTCATGTTTCAAATTATACAAATAGTTTCACCAAAAAAACAAACAAAACAGGGAGTGTTCGTGTAACAGTGAATCACAGTTAACATATAGAAAACCTTGTGTGAATAATCGGCACTTAAGGGAAATTACCGGCCAGCTAGAACACGACTACGACACGACAACACACTTTTGCTATCTCTAGATTATAAAGCAATTCATACTTTCAAAACTATCTCGTACCCTGATAATGTCTCTCTACATATGTTTGATTCATCACGATCTCAAGACAACTGACAACCTTCATTACTGTAAAGGTTAATGGAAAATGTTTCATCTTAACATCAATTTACATGAGACTGGCTCATAAAACAATATTACATAATGAAGTCTGATTATGACTCTGGGTCATTCGACACATGTACCCGATGTTATTGACATGCTGTAGTTTTCCTGTTTTTTTTATTCATCACAAATACTGACGCATGAAGTGGAGGTTGACTGACACTCCACCCTTCAGCTGCCCTCATTACTGTTATAAGGAGAGGGTGTGGTTCACATTGATAGCATCTGTCATTCAAGCATTCATTCTCCATTTTTTTGTTTTGTCATAAAGCGGTTATATTGTCTCTTTATCACTGCCGTGACTTGTAAAATCACATCTTACGGTGAAACATCTGTTTAGAGAATGGATGGAAGATTTAAGTTACACAATTACATAACATATTTACACACAGACATAAAAAAAAAAAAAAATAGAAAGAGGTTTTCTGGCCACTGATTCACTAGTTAGTTAACCAATGCAAATTCATTCAACCACCCACAACAGGAGGTGGAAATAGCTGCTGTGATGTTTATTTAATTATACTGATATTTTAAATTTATTTTATTGTTAATAAATCCCATGAAAAAAAGCTATACCATCAATAATTAATTCTACTAACGTATTATTTTATTCCTTTGTGCCATAGAACTCAATTGTTGTCCAAAAACACACATTTCTTTATTATGATGAACACGGAAACTGTGGTTTATTTTGAGTCGATCCCATACACACTGTCATGCTGCGATAAATATAGCGCACCAAATGTGCAAGAAAGAAGTGCGCTTTTCCAGAATATTACCAACAATTGGACACACTACTATAACCCCAAAACTTAGAATAAATAGTCCATAAAAATAATCAGACAGATGAGTCACTTTGTATTGTGTACCAGTTTGGTAGCCCAGTGACTAAAGAGGTAGTTACACATTAACGACTGTTTCTTATTCTAACCTGGTTGATGGTTTTCTCCATCTGCACCAGGCCCAGGTTAGGCAGTGTGGTCTTGATGAAGTCCACTATGGACTCCAGGTGCTCATGCTGCAGGATCAAAGGCTTGTGGCTCCCCAGCAGGCTTAAGGCCACCTTAAAGATGACCTCGGATCCCTGCAGGAACAACATATCTAGACAGAGGACAAAGAGAAACAATGAGATAGGTGGTTGGAAAAGGCCCTGACGTGACAACTTTTCTTAAAATTATGTAACGTATAATGAATGACAGGTGCTCGTAGTGCAGCTTACTGTGTTGATTGGTGACTTAAAGGGTTTTTTAAATGAAAGATGCTTTGACGTCAATAAAAAGGTTTAAGCATATGCGAATATGGAGAGGCGGAGCAGGTGTGTGTATTTGTTTGCGTGCTTTGAATGCATCAGGGTGGAGTAAGGGTTAGGCAGGATTGCATGAGATCATAAAACAGATTAAGGAATGGGAGTGGTGGTGTGGAGCCGCACATGCTGTATGATATCAAGACTTCACAGTGCTATGTTGATGCCTGTACACACACACACACACACACACACACACACACACACACACAGTGTTATGCTCAGATGAGCACGAGGAGCCAGCAAGTCTGGTTCGGTGACTGAGCACAGTGTAAGAAATTAGGCATGAAAACCACAGTAAGTAAAGGTATGAGAGAGAAAAGCAAAGACGTGATAAAAAAAGACAGTTGTGGGTGTGATGATATTTACACAAATATAGATAAAAGGTCACTTCAAAGAAAACAACAGCCTCTAACTGACAAAGACTCAAATGTGTCTGTCTGTATGTGACTCACTATTAAGATACTTCATTCCAGGGAAACTAAGGGCTGTTTAAGTTTGAAGAAAAGCTCTGAACATTATCATAAAACTTCAGTATCTAGTTTAACAACATTTAATGTCACTTCTTCTTAGCTCCACCGCCAAACTTATTAGATTCCCTGTATGTACCTTGCTTTCTACACCTTGTATTTCCTCTGGTTCGCCATCAATCATAATTTCCTTATTTTCATCGTGCTCCACCACTTGCCTCCCTTCCACCACTCTGGGCTCAAGATCTAATAAGAAACGTTAACTGGAGAGTGGAGACAATCTAAACATCTCTGTGGAAGCCCCCAACATCCTGCTCCTTCCTACATCTATACTGGTGAGCTGTCCTCAGGAAAGAGAAACACTGGTGACCAAGTAAAACAAGAGTGTGGTCTATGAGTGCAGATACATCTGCAGCTCTCAAAGCTTACCAAAGACTCTGGCCACGAAGCCGAGGGGGAAGTGCGAGGCGAAGGCGGTGAGAAACCAGGGGGTGGCGTATAAGCTGGGCCCGATCTCCTGCTGCTCCAGGTGGCTGTAAAGATCCCTGTGGTAGTCGTGAAGCAGCCGCGACAACTGGTACATCTGAATCTGACATGAACAACACACCAGAGATTGCTTTTACTGGTCTGACTGGGAGCATGTGTGCATCATGTGCAGATTGTGCTTTCATTATTTTATACATGGTTTTAAAGTTGGATTTGTTTCACATTCAGGGGTTATGGCATAACTATGGAGATGAGAGCAGTCACAAGTCACTTTACTGTCAGCAGAACGACCATGCCCCTTTTTGGGTAAAAACAAGCACTGTAAAGGTGCAAAACACCCAACCCAATTTTACTACGACTTACTTCCCCAAAAAGAGGACAGTAAAAGAAGAAATCTGTGGCTTCAGGCCATCACCAGAGAAGATGAAAATGATAAAACTGTGGGACGGACAGCCAGTCAGTAGTGTACTTCTGTGGCAAACACTTCATCACAGGTTACTTAACAATGATGTTACTGAGTCCTAGTGAGGTGTAATTTGTTTTCTTCTACAAGTTTCTGATACTGGTAGAGATTAAAGACAATTTTAACAAAGTTTAAGCTATTCACTGCCATTTCCACTGCAAAGCTTCTGCTTGCCACGATCATCACAGCAAGTAAACACGTAAAAGAAAGCAAACACGACAACTGCACAGCAATAGTCTCCTTCAGCGAATGAAAGAATGTAAACACAATAACTACAGGTAGAAACCTGATCATGTACAGTACATCCGTCTAGTGCAGGAGTCATATATAATGGTGAAATCTGACGCTGAGTTAACCTATGCCAGAGGTTTCCTAACCCCTTGTATCAGTTATAAATTCAGCCAAATTCCCACACAAACCAGGCATCAGTTAACATGTCTCAACCAAACCTGCCTACCGTGTCAGTTTGTTAAAACATGAAAATGTAAGACGATCACTGTAATTCTGATGACAGAAAGGAGGGAAGCATCAAATGTCATATATAAAATGTGAGATAATTAGACTGATTGATGAATGGACATATAAAAAGATAGTGACCAGCAGTGTGTGGGTAACAGAGAGAAATTATATAGATTAAGGTGTGTAGGGGCTGCAAACATGCACTTTATATGTGGGACAAAGAGACACAAAGAGACTCTGTGTGTGTGTGTGTGTGTGCATTTTACCTGCAGGATAATCATGTCGGGTCTGTACTGTTTGCGGAGTCCCACATCATACATTAGAAATTTGAGCATGTTGAAGGCATCCTCCTCCCCCATGTGTAACAGCAGCACTCCAGCAATGAAGGACAGGCCCTGGCAGTAGCCCACCTACAGTAACAACAATAACAAACTTGACGTCTACACAGACGAGCAAGGGGGGGTGGGGGGGGGGAGCTTAAGCCTAAAAGACGGTTGACAGGTCCATTCAGTTCAACGGGTGAGCGGGAGAGAGACACCCAAAAACAAAGTGAAAGAAGAAAGAAAGAATACTAAAAAAATTTAATGATACCTCAGGGTCCAGCAATGAGTAGGCTTTCAGTAAATTATACAGAGACAACTGTCCGGCCCCCAGCTGGGCTTGGAAATATGGATGAGTGGGAAAAGTGCGACCTGGGACAAGGAAAAGAGGGAGACATTATCTATATTGCAAAACATCTGCACTTTTTTAATTTAGGATGAAATACTGGCAGCCAAAATATCTATTTGATCTCTGAGATCAACCTGATACACATCTCAAAACATAATAACACACTTTTAATAAATTTGATTTACTTGATTTTGTCTGACATACTGCTGGAAAGAATTCTCTGTAAGCGCAAACTTTGTCTTAGGTTGCTAGACTTGCACACTTTGCTGTTAATGTCAAAAAAAAAAGGATGTCAGTGCACGAGCATGTGCCAGGCAGTTATGCTTAGAAATATAAAAGCAAAAACCGAAACTTAACATGCAATGGTGGATGGGACGAGTGCCTTCTGTAAAAGAACATTCTTAACGTGGACAGACTGGTCATCGGCGTGTATGTGTGTTTTTCCCCCCACTTACAGTGTGCGACAGTGAGGCTTTGGGGAAGACAATGACAACTGTGTGAGCGAATACGCTTGCGGTGGGGGCTTTACATTTGTGAACAGAACTCCCTCCCCTGCCTGAAGCAAAGACTGTATGTGTCTGTTCTGTGTGATGAATGGAAGGTGTGGGAATGCTGAACTTCACATCCCTAAATTCTACTCTTTGTCCTCTTGCCTAACTTATGTCAACTCAATTTTTACACAAAGTAGATGGTCTTGAGTTGTGCATTTTCTACCTGCAAACCTCTTTGCTGCTTCAGTATCATAAACATTGTGTTTTTAATCCTACAGCACATAACACCTTCATATTGGGCCATGTGAGCAAACCGTCAGTTTGTGTGCTGTTACCGCCCTATTTGATGTAGAGTGAATAACATAATAGCCAGATGAAAGACACAGGGTCAACAGCAAAAACACAGGAGGATAAGTGCAACTGGTGTAGATGTGTGGGTGGATGTGTATATGCATGTGTGTGGGTGTTATATGGGTGGGGTGTAGGTACTGTGTGGGTTTTGGGTAGGAGGTGTTGTGAACATTTGAGGGTTAAAATGAGGTTTACTGTAATGTGCTCTGTACAGGGTTTCTGCAGTGTTCACCAAATTAAATTTAAGACTTTCAAAGATGTTTCTGATACATCACAGATGGCAATTTAATATTTTTCATCGATCATACTTGTCAAAGGATGACAGAAAACCAGTGGGGTCAATAGGTATGTATTAAGTACATACATTTATGGACAAATATATCTAATTTGTGTCACTTTCCAGCTGTACATTTTTAGTAATATAAGTAGTCAATCAATGTGACTTTGATACAAAATTAAAGAATTAATTCAGTAATGAAAAAATAATTAAGGTTTTGCTCAAATCAGCCCTTGCCCATTACGAGTCGATGAGCTTTCTAGTCACTGTAGATAGCAGGGACAGTGTTTGCTACAGGTCTGATGGTGCTGACTTAAACTCTGCAAAGAAGGATTAAATCAACTAACTGTCACACCAACCCGACTTTTAGTTATATAGCAATCTATATAGTCTCAGCCCGCAATCAAATACAAAAAACTGCTATCACTAGTCCTACTGTTTACAGAAGGCAAGAAAAAAATATTCAAGACCATTGAAAAGGAAATGTAAGACTTTAAAAAAGCCCTTTGTTGAGAGAACTGACTTCAATGATTTGTAGAATCCCTGTCTGTAAAATCTAAAATGTGTTGATGTATGTCTGTGTGTGTGTATACAACAGAGACATGAACACACACACACACACACAAATGAGAGGAATGCACGTATTTGTGCACAGGGTATACTGCACATTCATTTATGTTTCAGTAGCCCTTCTAGCAGAATAGAACAGAAAGCAGAATAGATTAAAAATTAAGCATCTAAAAATGTGTGCAAGTGAGTATAAATATTTTCTGTGTGTGAGTTACCCAGATCTATGAGGATGGCATGCTGCTGCGAGGTGAGCTGTTTCAGCAGATCTTTGTACGGAGTGTGATTGGTTGGGGGGCGGGAGGGTACCGTCTGCCTGAGCAGGTACTGCTCAGAGAGAAACTTCCAGATCTCGCCTCGATGTTGCCTTGGCACACCTGCCGGAAGTGATAGAAATAAAACAGGATTAGGTTTAGGTGGGGCGGGGTTGTGCAATACTGGAATTACATGTTGTTTGGGTATAGAGATTGGGACACAACAGATTTTGTACTAATATGCAAATCATGCCTGTAGGACGCAAATCATAAGATGTGTCAGGACTAAAAAAATGTGGTGAATCTTAGACGACTGAAGATACCCAGCGCAGCCTTAACTTGGCTGTCAAAAACATCTTATGTCAGCCCATTAATTAGTATGAGCTTGAGTGACAGGCAAGTTAGTCCATAGATGTTTCTAAATGGTGAGGGGATATAGGGTGCTACAGTGTTTACCTTTGAGTGTGGAGATTCATTCTTGACCTTGGTCACACATATCTAAGCAAATATCCTAAATGCAATGGAAAAGTAAATGAACCTTGCATTTAGGATATTTACCACAAATATTGACTACATAGATACTATTTAGATTACAAATGGTAGGGTAGAGCAGTGTAATTTTTTATTAGATCCAATTAGATTCAATTCCTTTTACTAAATCAAGAATTTCTAGTGTTTGTTTATCTTCTATATTAGGAACGCCCTGAGCATTTATGCACATTCAAACCTGGAAGCAGGCCAGTGCAACCTCAGTCTGATCTGCTGGCTGACTGAGCAGTTGGGGCTTCAAGTGAATTTTCAGCAATTTGCGAGATGCACTTATTCACCTTTTGGTGAAGAGTTAGATGAGAAGATTGATACCACTCTTACACTAGACAGTTAACTTAGCTTACCACAAAGATTGGAATCAGGAGCTTGCCTGGCTTTGTCCAAAGTCACCTATCAACATATCTAAATCACAATAATTGTTAAAACGTTTTTAAACAATTAGTCGTTTTACAGGTGGTTACATCTTGGCTCTCAGCAGTAACTTACTGGAATCTCCACTGGTTGCCTGGCCAAAGTTTAGAGCCAACAACAGTCCAGCATGTAACCCCCCATAAAACATCAAATTGTTATTTGCACGAATTAATAAAATGTGATCTGCTTCTGTTCTATTTTTTCTGTGCGCTACGAGGAAATCTGGAAAAAAAACACACACTATTAAAAATGATGTCCCTGGCATAATGAGTTTGTAATAAGAGAGGGCCAATGTAAAATAGGAAATAAAAAGGAATTTTACATTAGGTGAGACTAATTCCATTAACATAGGGTTTGTAAAACATAGAGCACAAGAATCACCATTAAACTCTCAGTGTTTGAGAGGAGGATGTTTAAACATGTAAACAAGTAACCTTCCTGTCTTCTGTGCACAACATGCTAATGCTAGAAAATGGACAAAACAGAGAGCCTTGACGACGAGAGACAGACAGTGGGTGTAAAGTTGTCTAAGGGAAATACACACTGACTTTACTGTGTGATTTGACAACACTTCATAGAATTTATAATCTTGCCTTTTTCTGTATTTGAGAAAAGGGCCTGAGCTGATAAGGAGAAAAAATACATATTTTCAGTTTTGGAGATTTTTACATTAAGCTTTGGTCAATATTTGCTAATACCTGGTGATTTTGAAAAAGAGCAAATATTTCCAAGAAGCACTGATATATGTATCTGTGGAGCCAAATATGTACCTTGTGCAACAGCAGCATGTATGGTCTCTTTGTCAAATTTGACTTTTGCCCTCCCGGGGGTCCCCAGCATCTTCTCCCAGACCAGAGTGACCTCCTTCAGACACGGAGTGATTTCCTCGTAGTCCAGCTTCAGACGCTTGTTCTGAAGATCGCTCTCCGAGGCTACAAACAGAAATACACAGACAATACACGTCAATAATGTGACAACCCCAGCGCCCCGTGTGTGTGTGTGTTTGTTGCAGGTTCTTGGCTGGGTGGAGCTCAGGTGCCATGGCTGGAACTGGTAACAACTGACCAGTGTTCCCGAAAGGTATTTGAGCGCAGCTGTCAGGGTAATGGTCTCTTCATGAAGCACAATAGACTGTATATTTTGTGTTACTATATATGTCTATGAAGATTCTCAGTCATCCAGGTCATAGTTATCCAACAAAGGTTAAAATCAAGGGCAACTGGACTTGGTGTTACTATATATTTAGTGCTACTGTACTCATACACTCTGAGTTCACTGATACAGACTTCCATATTCTGTCTTTGTTGTGTAAAGCTAGCCTGTCATATCAATAAAAACAGTGAAGAGGATAAAAAGCCTGATCTGATTGAATGGCTACCTCCGCTAAAGTCAGAAGAAGAAATTAATAATTTTATGAAACATAAATTTTAGATAAAGAGGATTTTAAACAGAACAGGCCAAATGCATTTCATGACAGAGTTTGTCATCATCTAGTTACTAAATTCATCAGAAAAGACAAGATGCAGACAGGATTTATCAGACTTGTAATGTATTAAAAAAGCATATCACAGGAAAAAAGAAATATTTTCATTTTGGTAATGTTGGAGGCAAACGGTTTAAACAGTCAGAGTCAGTTGGGAATGTGTGAGAAATAACTACAGGAACAGCGCTGCTGGTTTCACTTTTCAGTTGCTTTTCAAACTGTAATTTTTTTTTCCATTCAGCTAGGCACCTTTAAAGTTGATATATCACGACTCACGAGCAAGCAGATGTTTAATTTTTAACACATTCAGCAGATACTGCACAACATAATCATTCATTTGGAGTCGTGCGTGTGGCAACATGGCGAACAGTAAGTCCATTCCCTCTCTTTTAGCTCTGTTTTTGGTCTCCACCAACTCCTGAGAGAAATGGCTCAGGAGCTGCTAATCTGGCTCTTTAGCTGCTAATTGCTCCACTTTGTTCCCCAGCTAGTTGCTAACTGTGTCTGTCTGCCATCTGGTGCTGAGAAGGTAGGTGAAGAGTGGGTTTTTAGAGCTTTGTCACTGAAAAAAGCCTGCAACAATGCTAGAGAGATGCGAGAGTGAACCAAAACAGTAAACCTGCGGACCGGACAGTTAAACTGCGAGCTGAAACTCACTATAAAGCTCTGTAAAGCCGAGCAGATCAAGGAGATAACTCTCTGTAGGTTGATAACTCCGACCAACATCTTTTATGTATATGATTCCACATGATATGATTGTCATTATAAAAAAATTGATTATAGCCACTTTAATGTGAGGGCTGTAGCTTTCTAGGAAGTTTGTACATTACCCACAGGCAGAAAGTAGGAATATCAGAGACAGGGATTGTTGTTAGTGCAACACGCTCCCCCTGCTTTGCTATAATAATACTTTTTTTTGTATAGTCCAATTAAATTTATGGAGGGAATCACTGGTTGTGGACTTAACATAGATTAACCCAGCCTTTAAGATAAACAGAAAGACAAAAACTGTGAATTCCGTTGCAACATGTTGACACCACTGATCAAAGAGGGTGAGGGCACACCCAGCGCCCCTCATCTGTTCCTCTCTTTTTGACAACACCCTTCCTCTCTCCCTCCCTTAATCTCTTTACTCACAGCCCTTCTCTTCTCACTTTTGTGTCAAAACTCAACTTTCTTCTCATTCAATCTCATGTTTGTCTCGTCCATCAACCACACTCTCCCCTCTTCTCCCTCCTTCCCCTTGTGAACTTCCCCACCCTTTCCGTTCATGTGTGGTGTCCACCCAGTGACCAGCTGCAATTTGGCAGAGCTGGGGAGAGTGACATCATCACTACAGGACAGGAAAGAGACAGCAGGCCGCTTATCACTCCAAACTGCTCTGACACCTTCCAGGAAATGGGCTGGAATTATGTGTGCAGCCAACAGGGGGGATTAAGCAAAGTGTATTTGCATCAGCAAAATTTTGAAAATAAGTAAACTGGGGCGATTATAATAACACCACAGTTTTAATGAACAAACTGAGCAAATGGAAATTCAGTGCCTTGCAAAAGTAGAGGGCTTTGCATTTAACTCACATAACAATCCAGAATAAACACATTTAAAAATAACTTGGCACAAGATAAATTGAGAATCTCAAGAGGTCTGAATGGTTTTTTATGAAGTGCTGTATATCATGGCCCCAGCAATCAAAGACAGACAAGTAGCGGGAGTGACCTGGAATGTGTATTCTGGATAATAGAGGAAGAAAACTTGGATGGAGGAGTAGCTGACACACCCAGAGTAAGAATAGATGCTGTTTGAGGGGCTGTGGCTCCGCTGTCTGTCTTATCAGCTGTCTGGAGCAGGCAGAGTCTAGTTAATCAGGACTCGTTCATTGGCCGAAACCCAGCTAGCACTTAATCGCTCCACTCTCCAAACTCTCCTCACCTCCTGCTCTCCATTTCTGTTGCCGGAAGACTCCGCCCATGATAACACACAACAAGATAGAATACCCCACCCTGGAGCTAACAAAGATATACACACACAATTGACCCATAAACCAGACAGCGGTGAGCAAGATAAACAGAAAAAACGGTGGACAGGGAGTTGAGCTCCAGCCAGACAAATAATAGACAGAGAGGTGGAGCGCACCATGTGGGAGGAATCAAACACACTTCAAGTATAGATGCCCAAGAAAGCTGCCACACGCTGTAGATGCGTATGTTGGTGTGTCTAGTATGAGTACATAGAGTGTGTGTGAAGCTAAACAGAGTGAGGTCACTGCCCGGACTTGTTTTTCATTTATAATATTGATATCTGTGTCACGGACAAAGTGTTGCGTGTGTGTATGAACGGATGGTCTGTATACAGTGGAGGTAGTTACGGTTATGGTGCTTAGGTGCACGTCGATACGTGCCAACTGGGTCAGGAAAGAGGTGGGGCACTTGGCGCGCCCTTAGATATGCCTACCAGCAAACACACACAATTTTATATTATACAACCTGTTCATTAGTGTTGGGTCGAAGTGTTACAAGACATAAAAACAGGTGCATACTCGATTACATAACCTGCATGTGTGTGTACATCTGGAAAGACATGTTGCTAAAGATGGATTAAAGAAAGACTTGTTTGTCCTGCTGTTTAGCATTAAGAGAAACCATGTCATCGTGTAAATAAACAATGTTGCCAGGTGAGTTGCCAACGGTGCTTAACGAAACAAAGCAGATGACATTTTGATGGGGCAGCTGTGGCCTAGAGCGAGTAGCTCACTCATCAGAAGATCAGAGGTTCAACCCCCAGCTTCCTGCAGATACTGAACCCCAAGTTGCTCCCTGAAGGCTGTGCAATCGTTATGTGAGTGAGTGTGAATGATTAAGGGGCTTTCACACCTTAAAGTCCGCATGAACTTTGGTCTGAGTTCATGTTTTTCAGTTAGTTTTGGTTTGGTTTCACACCGCAATTCTGCGACCGCACTAAAGGACTTTACATGGCACACTTGCATCCTGTCGTCCTCATCTATGTGGGCTGCGTCTCCCTATACTTGAAATTGATTGGTTTATTAAACAGTTTAGCGGGTATCTTTGACAATTAATGAATAAAAAATGAACATATGCATATTTGCCACCACTATTATTGTTATTATGGCATTACTACCTGCAGCACCAGCTATAGGCTACGTTATACATTGTAACGTTGTCGACAGGACAGGAGGAGCAGACAGCAAGCAATCCTTCTGCACCTCTGTTTGAGGAGAGACCAAAGAGATGGGTGGCAGTGTGCTTCTATAATGGCCCTCTGTTTGAAAAGATGATCTGTCACGGGAGATGTCTGTCTGTTTGGTCCGGACTGTGGTCCGTGGGAGATTTCACACCTGTATTTTTGGTTTGGACCAAACTGAAAAGTCCTAAAGGCTGAACCAAACGAGGTAGGTGTGAAGGCCCCCTTAGTTTCTTTCTGATGACCACTATGGCACCTTGCCTGGTGGCCTCTGCCGTCAGTGTATGGAATGTAGTTATATAAAAGTCCATTTACAGACAACAAATCCAATCCATCTTTGCAGGACCACATCACAAATAAATATGTTTTGTGATTTAATAACATCTGAAGAATACACTGAATTTGAGTATTTTCAGAGTAATTTCAGAGTAATTTCAAGTATTTAGCTGCGGTTCTTGTCTTCAGGCAGTGTCTGTCTGTCCCATGGATTATGGGACGGTCACTTCCACTGCAACACTGTGCACTGCTATAGCGTTAATGCTAATTATAAGATTAAGAGAGATTATACTGCTCATTGTAGTGAATCTAATGCACTTGTCCGTTTAGCATTAGAGGATGTGTGCATGATTATAATAAGCTTTTGTTTATGAACATGTGAATAAATTGCAAAATAAAAATGGTATGCAGGCTAATAGTGTTATGTTTGTGCATTTCAATTCCCTCCAACTCACCCTGTAGTTTCTGGTTCTCCATCTCCATCCTCTGCAGCAGGATCTGCTGCAGGATGGCCTTCCTCCAGAGCTCCCTCAGCTCCTCTTTGCTCCTCTTTGTCCTCTCCTCAGGCACCACACTTATGGACAAGTCACCACTTCCTCCAATTCCCACCTGGCCCACGCACACTCGACCCCCCTCTAGACAGGGATCCCCCCGCTCTGAGACAAGACATATCAGATTATATTACATTAGGTTAGATCAGATTACTCAGATTAAATTATGTGTCCATTGCATTAAATACAAGGAATATCTGACATGAAATGTAAAAATGCATACATAAAAAACTTTATTCAATAATTTAATTTACTCAGTATTCTCATTTTCTTTATTCACAGGATACTGAACATTCTGTTTGAAAAAATGGGGCAGATAATACACTCATGCAAATGAAAATAAAAATGCTAAACATAGATATATTTGAAACAGTTGGGTGCAATGCACACAGTGAAAAAAAAAAGTGTTTTTGTGACTCCACCCCAAAGTACAGGGTGGATCCCAAACCTCAAAATACTCTGTGTTGCTTAGAATAAGGACATAGCAAGTATCCGGATAGCACTTGCTTCTTTTTCAATTCGTAAGAACATCAGGATTCAGTTTGATCACACACACACACACACGGAAACATACCTTAGCTTGGCTTAGGTATGTAAATTTGATACTCATCTTTCCAAGACTCTTCTGAGGAAAATAAGAAATATGCAAAATAAGCCACCATTTTCGCATGCAACAGACAACATACAAGAAACAAGGACCAACCTTCATGCAGTCCATCAACACATTACACACAGACATACGCACGCATTATGACAATAGTGTTCTTTGTGCCAGATGAGGTTAACATTTATGTATGCCTTTGTGTCTGTGTCGGGGAGACTTTCCAAGACATGCCTAAACCAGCAGTAACTCTACAAACACAATGCTAAACAAACCCTTAAGTTATAAGAGAAGTGAAGACAAACCAAACACCCAGAGACGGCGAACCCTCGTAACAGAGTCATGTATTTGTTAGACAAACACAGACTGCTACACTGCTTCAACAGAACTTTGCTGAAAGGTCAGCTTTTAGGTGTGAAAAATGCATGCATGCACGGACACACACACACACACACTCTCTCTCTCTCTCTCCAGTGACTATACATTAACTCCCTAGTCCCATTGCCCTAACCTTAACCATAAGAGCTGCGCCTGATCTTAAAGGTAAAACCTCCTCTTAACGCCAAAATAACCACAGACACACACACACACCCTCTTGCATTTAGCGGAACGATCCACTCCCTGAGCAAACACTCCAACTTGGCCTGAACCAAGTCACAGTGCTTGTGCGCGCACGCACACACACACGCAAAGTGGGTCAACAAGACTGGTGCTTTCCTCTGACGATGTCTGTGTATGGACTGTCAACATGACCTTGAGACACTGCCACCCCCCTCCAAAGCACGCGCACACACACACACACACACACACACACACACACACACACACACGACACACCCATGACCTCATGTATGTAAGCACACACATAAATACACACCCAACTCAACACAACTTAGCAGTGCATTCAGCCAGCACAAAGCCTGTCACACAAACCCGTTAAGAGCACTGTTTTTTCCTTTACTTCAAGGCAGTTGAATGTCAAAATAAACTTCAGGTGCAGATTTTATTAATGGTGATATAAAATGTCTGACGTGTTGTTTACCTATGTTATCTGAAAGGGAAACTTTGTGCCTAATCCTTGCTAATCCCTTTTGAGCAGCACATTCAGTGGGAATGTGGATAAAAAAGAAATCACATTAGTCCCACATTCCTGTTGCACTTATTAGACCTAAATACAGAATCTAGAGGGGTGTGAACAGAAGTAAACTACTTCATGGAAATGCATTACTTTGTAGTGTAATCCATTACTCCTGCTAGCACCTTTGTGTATGTTATAATGCTCAGTTGTTAATATGGAAATGTTTTGTGGCTTAGGTGTGTTGAGAATTTGTAAATTTCAGACTTTGGCACACTCGGTGGTAGCATTAAAAAACAACACAAACTTTATACACTTAGCGGCTAACATGGAGAAAATATCCTGTTAATGTTAGGTGCCTATCAGTCAGTGTTAGGGGTCTACTAGTGACCACTCTTCCTCTCTAATGCCTTGGTTGTCATGATTTTGGAGACCTTAATATCAATCATTTGTGCAGCTGCCTTTGTAAAGGTAACTTTAATTTGATATTTTAATTTATATTTTTTCTAATGCTGTGTTTTTATTATTTCTATAATTTCCCTAGACAAAGTCACAACTAAAATGGAAGCTACGCAAGTCAGCCCTATTAGGTTTAACAGTGTTTTTTACAGTGTGAGGCTGCTTAGAAGTTCAAACAACAGTGACATCGCAGGACTTCTATCCAAACAACCACCCCTATTATTTTTGGTGTGGCGTGCGTTGCTGCAGGTGGATCCAACACCCCATGATACATTGTGCCATTATTTACTCTTCAGGATCAATGCCAATTGACATTGGAAAAGTAGACCAACCCCTCCTCCCTGACTCTTCATCTCACTTGGCATATATCCCCACTAGTGTTATCTTCAGGTCTCTGCTCTGGTAATAGTACTTGAAATAATACATAAAAATTCAGTTTGATCTGCCAAACTGTGGCGCGTTTTATGTGTGCAGGAGGTGTCAACCAATGAGATGTGTTTTGGATTAAAGGCAGCATACAGTGACACAAAGAGGCAGGATAGTTGCTGCCTGAATAGAAACTGCAACATTTTGTAATGTGTCAATAACGGGACAATATAAAATCAACCCAGGACAAAGACAGGTAACAGTGGTTACTTCTAGACCCTCACCAACCCTTACTCAAAAACACTTAACAAGATATTTCCGCAATGACACGAGAACCTGTGACCTTTATGATTATCGTCTAATCAACACTCTTACACACTATCAACATTCATTATGGGACTGGCCAGGAAAAAAAGTAAATGGGAATGGTCAAGACGGGAATCACAGATCATTTTTTATATAAAAATATACATATAAACGCTGTTTTCAGATTTTTTTTTTTTTGTTTTATTAATTGGGAATGGGATGGGACAGGATTGAAAATCCACTACTGTGTTACCCTCTAATGCAAACCATTAATCATACTTTAGCAGTTACCTAGTGTTAGTGATGGCGGGGCGTGTGGCTGCAAAACATAGCTACATTTTAGTTTTAAGTGTTTGTTTTTTCCCGCCTTTTTCACTTGGGGCTCACATGTAGTCCAAATTGATGGACAGTGTTTCCCATTTTTTTTTTTTTACAAGATGCCGACCATATTATCACCATTATATTGCCGCTGTTAACATTTTCCCAGATACCCCAGACAAACTTTATACTATAAGCTGACATCTCTTCCAACAAAAAATGTAAACACCGGTATAATAAAGTGTAATAAAGAAATTACTTCCTTTTTTAAAAGGTACTATGTAGGAACATGTTTTGTTTTTATGAGTATTTTCCTCAAGGCTGTTTTTTTTTCTGTGTATGCTCTTGTTACAGGCGTTTTGGTGGAGTTACAGTGCGACCAACCCATCTATCTCAACTGTCAACACTTGTTCTGTCACACACACACAGTACATATAATTATCAAAATGTAGGATCTGAAGACGTGCTAGCACATGTATGATTCCCACGTCTGCACAAGCACACTTTTGTCTGGTCACATACTGAGATAAGATGATTGCAATTTCAAAGTTATCTGAGGTTAAAGCAGCATTTTTACTAAATGTCACTATTTTCTACTTGTATCCTTTACACCTCTAAAATATTTGACATGGCTGTCAATTTCCAGGCATTCAAGGTTTTCCTCAAACTGATTTCATTTCATTATATGGTGTGTACTTTTCAGTGTGTAAAAAAATCCAAAGCACTGCAAAATCCAAACCAAGAATGCTTGAATGGACATGAATATCATTTCTTAAAGATCACCTAAAAATTGCGGACAAAGAGACAGCAGGTAGAGAAAAACCTGCAAAGAGAAAGTAATTTGTAATAGCCAATTCAAGTTCATACAGGAGAGAAAGAGCTATGGTAAAGGGATCTATTCTCATTCCCTTCCTTTTTTCTAAACACACAACATGTTAAATGAAAGAGTGACACAAAGTGGAAAGGCTTTGCTACTGCACCACTGTCTACACGCTGGGACCTGGTATGGCAGTTTTTAATAATCGCACAGGTGACGAAGGACACAGGAAGTGTCTTGTCCATGCTCTTACTTTGGATATTAATCACATGTCTACGTATATGAGAATGTGTGTTTACACAAGTGTCTTTACATGGAACCTTCTTCTTCCTTACAATAACACGTGATGAACTTTACAACTGGAGCATGCAAAGTAATCTTAGTGTTAAGATCTCACCTGTCAAAACTCTAATGTACACGGACACGCTCAGCGTACTCCCAAGTGCACAAAAAATGTTTTTTTATTTATTTTTTTGGCAAAGTCATCTAAATTAGACATGTGGCATATTATGTGGTGACAGTAAGCAAAATATGTGCATAACTCAATAAGATGAAATTCTATTGTAGAAATATTCACTGTATCAAACTCATCTTAGATGCACATTCATGTACATTGTTGTGTCTAAGACAGCATTTTTGTTCCAAATTAGTTGGGATAATGTTTAACTTGCTGTGCATTTCATGGTTTGAGCTGATTCTTTTCAGGCTGAAAAGAGCAGCAAATATTATGATCTACAGTCTGTAATTTCAAAAGAAATATTATTGATATATAGTATATGGGATAAAAGGAACACTTGCTAATACTTGTTGAAAGTTTAATTTTAGATGTGAAGCAGCATCCTTTGTAGGCTATAATTCAATAACACCTATTCAAACTTGTTACAAATTCTTTGTTAAGGCTAAGGCGCTTTGCTCAGCACTAACCATTGCTGTTGTCGTGTGGTGTCTTTATCCATTATGATGTTCTAAATCTGCCATTAAAAGCAAGGCGGTATCTTGTCCAATCGCACAGGTTAATCCCATGCTTGGCTTCTCTCTGTGGTACTTCCCTCTTCCCTGCACGTAGGTAGCAACTGCATCGTAATTACACACACATTTCTATCATCTTGCTAACACAGGACCTCAGTGTGATCCCATTGTAAATATAGACAAACTCTATCTGACTCTTCAGATCTAAAAAGGTGCGGCACATCCTTGGTTTAAAGGAAACTACTGCTTTGATGAGGAATTAAATTTTCCATGTATTAGACTAATTCCCAGATCATTGATCAACACTGAGTGGGCCTCCATTTTGACTTCAGGAACTACAACAAGTACAGTAGGCCAAATGGATCAGCAAATATGACAGGTGAGTCTCAACTTTCTTTTGGGGCGGATAAATAAGTAATACATTGACAGACATTGTGGAAGTCAATGTCTTACGACAACATGTCTGTGAAGATTATCAGACATCCAGGTCATGGTTATTCAAGGTGTGTTAAAACCAAGGGCAAATGGACTCAGTTAAAGACTTCCCCTCCTGTCCTGCCAAGCAGCTTGGTATGCAGTATGAGGAGCTAAATACCATGTTGTGCCAGACAGATTTTATGGTCGTTGGGGTCACCTGGAAGTCTGACGGACCATCGTTGGCAAGGTCACATAAGGCCAAATGTGAGTGGGGTTTTACTACCAGGGCCACCTCACATAGGGTTAAAATCAGGCATGCAAACTGGACAGGGGTAAAACAGGTGAGAAGGATACGCAAGCAGATAAACACACAGAGACTGTATCAAAGGGGTCTGTTAAAGCTTACATATTTGTATAGATAACTTTCAATTGTGTACTGCAACAACAGAAAGATACCAACATGCCAAATATTTGAGTTGGGGGCGGGGGTCCTCCCCAGAAAACTTTGAGCATTAAACTGCATCTGGTGAAATTTTATGTACCTTTCCTGCAATAATAGTGGAAATGTTTTTATTGATGTAAAGGAGAAACACAAAATTGTTGGCAGGTGACAATTGAAAATCTAAAAATATAAGAGAACAGAAAACTGTCAAGAGGTTGTTAAAGTTACTGACTGGTGCTGCACGTTTTGGGGTTATTTTATAATTAGTAGCTTGATTTTTTTTAGCTTAAATTAAATAAATAAAAGTGTAAATTAACTTTTCTCAAAGCATTTGCATTTGTTATTTAACATTACTGGTTGCAAGCTAATCAAAAAAATTCTTTCAAAAAGTGGTGGATACAAAACCAGCCATTTTAAAAGGTGGTGGGGACATGTCCCCAGCGTCCCCAGTGCAAATAACACCAATGCCGACACGTTTTGCTTTCAGACGGACACTATATTCGGCAGCTGTCAGACTCTACTGTGTAGTAGCCTTGAAAAAAGACTCGCCCTATTCTGCCTCTGATTGTCTGTCAGGTTTAGCCGTTAGGAGTGACAATTGGTTAGGCATATGCAGCTGTAAATTTGCAAAGCTCGTGCTAGAGTGGACTCGGTAGTATAACCGACCGACTAACCGACAGCCCCCCCACCTCTCCCCCCAAAATATTTTCTCATTGGATCTTCAAAACAAAAAAGGTGAGGAGTTTGCGTGTCTGTTAAATATATTTGTGAGTGTGTCCATTTTTACCATTGGTTTCTGTGTTCTTCTGAGGTGTAGCAACCCTCAGGAAGATCTGTTGCCTCCATGAGTGGCGGTGGCTGCGCAGAGGACTTTCCCCTACCCCACAAGCTGCACTTGTGGACAGAGCTGCTACATCACTGAAACACAAACACGCACACACACACACACACACACACACACACACACACACACAGTTACATAATCATTCAGTAGGTAGTATTTTATACTATAAACAAGAAGCTCAGATTATAATTATGCTAGACACACTAACATGGACGTTGTGTATATGTGTGTGTACCTGCTCTTTCGCTCAGGACAATCGTTCTCTTGGACAGGGGCCAGAAATTGAAATTTCAGAAAATTAGGGACAGAGGAGGAGGAGTGGAGACGAGCACGCAGACCACTGAGAGGACTGAGATGGAGAAATGCAGGTGAAAGAAGGCAAAAAAACAGATGAAAAGAGAAACTTATGACAGAGGGACACATGGCTTATGAGACATGCTTCTGAACGCCATTGATTTCAATAGATGGATGTGACTCCTAGCGTTCAGGTGGGATGCGACATGGCTATTTTTTTGTGTCACGGAGTGCTGAAGTGCTGACCCAATGCAGGATTCTCACCTTCTTTTATTGAGCCGGGCTCCAGTAGAGGGTGAGGAAGGATGATGAGGGAGGAGAGGAGAGAGAGACAAAGGGCAGGGAGGAACAGGAGGAAGGGTGGAGTCGTTTTGGGATTGTCTGAGAAACAGTGCAAATAAAGAAAGAGTCAAAGATGCTGAAAAAAGGTATGAGAGAGAGCAGGGAAAAGTAAAGGGGAAAAAAGTATTTTGAAGGTAGAGAAGATAAAGAATTCTGGCTGATCGTCACAAACTCCTTGGTAATAACATTGTTACAAACTGTAAAAATTGTCTTTTGGGCAACAATACAACTATAAATGACAGCAAATTATACTCTGTATTTATTCTATTCTTCTACCTGATTAAGCATTGCACTCCTATAAAACAGCTGGACTCATGAGTAAAAAAAAGTTTAAAATTCAGTGCTGTAGAACCAGATATATCATCTGTATTTATCTGACTCTTCTACCTGTATCTGCTGTTGCACACACACTCTTTCTTCAAAACCTGCCGCTACATGGCTCACACTGCAACTTGACTGCCGACGGCTAAGGATTCAGATGTGTTATGCTGGTAGCGGCTTATGTAGCCACGAGCCTCAAGCTGAGATGAGGAGCAGGCTACAGAGGTCTGGGTAAATTTGTAGTCTTCAAACCCAAACAACAGTGACTCAATTATTAGATATCACTTAGCTCCCTCTGTGGCCACAAAAGGCTTTATACAACTTATTTTAGCATTTGCAACATTCCCCTCCAACACCTGTAAACAGACTTTTTGATGTGTAAAATCGGTAGAGTTCCCCTTTAACTGTGAAGGCTCGCACCTGCTTCAATATCCCATCCACAGTATGTTAATTACATTTCCCTTTTGACACAGATACCCCTGCCGTCATAAAGAAAACCTGGGCATGACACACTCTACTAAACATAGGTTCAACTACCCATGAGACTGCTGTCACAGGCTGATTGTCACCATTCAGTGTAGTTCCACACTCATCATGAATCCACAAAACTATACAGAAACACAAATACAGTACAACTATAACACACGCTGAAAATGCTGTTATGAAAGTTTCACTTTCACTTTGTCTCACACGTTCTCCTGGTTACCTACTTTTTGCCCACCTTTTTCCTTTATCACCAAATCAAGGTTGTGTGTGACCTAGCGGTGACCTGAATAGTGGAGGATGATGATGCTTCCATAGGAGGAGCCTGATTCGCAAAGACCATTGTCTTTATGGGAGTTCTCAATGTCTTATTTTACATCGAACTACCGATTTCCTTCCAATAAGTTATTATACAGCCCATTATGATATAAAAATCAACATTTAATGCTGTAAATAAAAATGTGAAAAGAAAGAAGCTTTTAATATACTCTTTAAAGGTTTAAAGTTTTAGTGGCATCAAGTGGTGAGGATTGTGAATTGCAACCAGTGGTTCACAGTGCTCCTTGGATGGTCCCATTTCCCGAGATGTGAAGTTGTTCTTCCGACTGCCGTGTGTGTCATGTGCTCTTAAGCCGGAATGTGCTACAGGGACGCTACTACAAAGATGTGTTGGATTGGCGTTATCAGAGCATTTACACAAACGCAGATATCTAGTTCCTTCTACATGGACATCAAACTAACTGTTATAACCATATTGCAAATTACATGTTTGCAAGATATGTATATGCAATGTGATTATGCGTGAATCAAAGTTCTGTATACTTCTTTATGTTTGTTACACTTTATTTCTCTTTTTGCAATAAAGATTTAAGGAGGAAAAAAAAGATTCTGATAATTCCGACACCACATGAATGCACCACCAGTCGCAGAGCGCAGGAGAAGCTACGGCGGCCGACGTACTCTGTCGGCTCTTGTGCTAAATAATACGTTTGGTCCTCCATTTGTCCAGTTGAAACTGTATTTCCCTTGGCATAGTTCAATAAAAAGAGTTCAGTGCATATAACTGACATACCGTAAGCCTCAATCTCCATTGTTTCCTCCTTCATATTTAAATCTTGCACACTCAAAATACCCCTGAAAAACGGGCGAATGCGAACAAGCGCTAGTTGTTACGTAACATCTAGGATGTTTACGCCCCCAAAATTACATAGGCCAGCCCACGTTCCAGAGTTAGCGGTGATATAGCTCATAGAGCCACAGCTGGAGGTTGTGCAGTGCAGTGTGTCTCACAGAAAGTGCTTTTATGGTTATGAGGGAAAGGTAAATATTATCTGGTTTTCCCTCTGATGTCCTCTAGCTGCTCTTTCTTCCTGATGGACAGATAGCCTTACTTGTTGTTAAAGCTACGGTTTGCTAATAGTAGATCCTGTTACCAGCTGGCTTCTGTAGTAATGTTAGAGGTGTAAACACTAACACAACCCCCGGAGCACCAAGCTTCCACTCCAAGCAGAATCAGGAATAAGACGGCTATCTGCACGGCTAACTTACTTGCTCTGGTGTGGACTGTCGGTGCTGACGGAGTAGTGCCGTACAAGCTTGGGCTTGGTAGCTGCAGTAGGGTCCTGTTGCGTGTGAATTAGTATATGCACTGACGAGTCCTCTGCGGAGGAAAGGGAGGGAGGGTGGCTGAAGGTGCTGGCCCGTTTGCGGAAGCCTTGCGGCTGAGCGTCATCAGGTAAAGAGGAGGAGGACATCGACAGGGGCAGAGAGGAATCCATGTGCTTCAGGTCTCCTGTTGAGTTGTGGCACCTGAAGTAAGAGGAGAGGAAGAGGAAAAGTATGTGAGAAGACATACACAGAATTGGAGAAAAAAAGTTTCAGGTGAAATTAAGTTTATAATATGCACTACCTAGCTTTCTAATTTTTAGGCATACTTTAACTGTAGACTGTGTTCAGTTCTACAGTTCTGGGGGACGCCATTCACCCTATTACTTATTTTATATATATATTATGTGTTTTCCTAAAGGCACCAACATAGGTCTATAAATCTCTCCTTGTGATCCTCTCACCAGAGAGAGGATAACCATGAAATCCATGTAAAACAAGTAGAACTGCATTCACCATTAAAGCACTCACTGCTCTACCCCAAGATATGAGTCAGTGTGCGGGCATGTGTGCTTAGGTGTGTTTACCTGAGGGGGCTGGTGGGTCGCAGCTGGGAGGAGGCAGGCAAGGGATCATCTAGACAAGGCTGGTCCTGGCTGCTGTTGACTGTACAAATGGAAGAGCCGCTGTCACTTCCTACGCTGTTGTCCCTCTGAGCTCTGGCTTTGCTGCTCCCCTGCCAAAAACACACACTCCAAGGTTATTTTCAGTATGCTGCTTTTGCATTTAACCAAAGATCACAAACCAAGACACTACTTCAAGGTCCCTTATCATGTAATGTTCAAAATATAAAGATGAATAATTCTGAAAAGGAAAATGACTGTCTCCTCTAAAATAACTGTTTTCTATGTTAGATCATGACAAAACAACAAATATACAAGAGCATACTTGTGTGCTATTGAACACGAACCAAGAAAGAAAGAGCATTGTTACCTTCCAGATCCCCTCCAGGGACTCCGTGAGAGAGCGCTTGGCTCGGCTCTTGAACTGCTCAAGCCGCTGTCGACTGCTACTCTGCTGCTGCGCCTCCACTGGGGCCGGAGCTCCCTCCTCACACACCTTCATACACATGGAGAGAGAAAACAAGACAGTGAGTGAGAGAGGGTGGTCCTCACAAGTGTAGTATTACACTTATGTCTGTGTAAGTGAAAGGGACAACAGCTATTGTTTATTTCTTTGGTTAACTACTCTGTAATAGACCTGTTGAGACTTTGGAGGAAATGTAGAACATATCTGGAGCAGAGACAGAACAAGAAACAAAGAGAGAGAGCTGGTACAATAGTGTATATGTGTGCATAGGAGATGTGCAAAAGTTACCTGTTTGCTGTCTCCAGGCAGTGTGTGCTGATGGCTCCTCTGTTTCTCCTCATACAGGTTCCTCAAGGAGGCCATCACCAACTCATTCTCCTCCTGGTCGCTCTTAGGACGAGCCCTCTGAAACAAAGTACATTGTTTGTTCAACCCTGGCAAATAAATGATTTTTGACAAACAGCTTGCAAATACTGACTTACAAATAGTGTCCTACTCTGAAGGTTTTTGACTGAAGAAATGGCTACATTACATTATGTAAATGTATTGGATATATTGAGCTGTTCTGCGTGGCAGGTTGTTACAATTTGAGACAAGAAGTACCAGTTTCCAAGGTCAGGAGCCTAAAACAAGTTTATGTGTGATGAATAAAACTTAACAATTGGTTGCGCATTGTATTTTTACTACATGACTCTTGAAACAAATGTTCAATGAATTAATGTTAGAAAAGCAGTGACCTGCTGATAGTATTGACAGCATTTTTTGTAATGTTGCAATTCAGCTACATCACCAACAGATGTCAGCTAAGTCATGTAGGAATATTTGAGGGCATTCACCTCCGGAAACTCATCTTTAACTGTTCAACATCTGTAGTAACAATGACGGGTTAATAGATTTATGTGATCCACTGCCAACAGTTAAATGGATGTGCTTTATCTACCATATCCACTTGTGTTTCTGGGAAATGAGACTGAAGTGTTGACACAACCAAAGAGAGCAAAATAGATCACCAGGGAAACAGAGATGGTGGAAATATTTAAGTCGCGTATAAAGATGCATCAGTGTGTCACTGTAAATCCCACAAACCTGACATTCTGCAGTGATTGAGTCATGATGAACTTGGGTAAAACTGCAAACTGACTGGTTTGTTTCTAGTTGCAGTCACCTCAAAGGGAACTCACACATTTGCCTTACAGGTGCAGAACAGACCACATACCATAGTGTTTTCAAAGACCGAAGCTTGCTCCTGGTTATCCAGAGTGGCCAAGTGTTTCTGAAGCTCCAGCTTGGTTTTAGATGGGTATAGACCTGAAAAACATGTCAATACAGAAGAAAAAGTCACTGCAGATAAGACTAGTCTAGTCTCACTTCAGATTTGCTTTACATATAGTACGTGTATGCTTATAGGGTATATAGGGTGCTGAGTCACATAATTAAGCAGAATAATATGTCCTTTTACCTTTGTGATGCATTTTTATATATATAAAGAAATACTGGTTAACTTTTACTCAATCCGTTTTCATTCCTGCATCAATTTGACCAGAGCCTTAGTTACTAAAAGGCTTGTCAAGGTATGCTTTTTGCAAAAGTCTAAACCTGACCAGTACTTATCTTTTAGAACTTGCAATCATTTGGAAGTGTTGAGAAATGTTCAGATAGTCAACCCTTACTTGCCACAGTTACTAATACATCATGACATTTGCCACCATGACACAATTATTTAACCAGGTAAATGTTATGTACAATGGCTGTATAAATGTGACCTATTGACTTTACTCTGACCAATTATAATTTAATTAAATTTGCTTTTAATTTTCCTCATTGTCTGAAATGTGCTGTGCCGGGAAAGTTTTCTACCTTCAATCCTCTCACACAGTTTGTGGAACTGCTGCATGGGGCAGCTGTCACACTGCTGGCTCTGGGTCTTTGCATTCTGCAGCAGGGCTGCCACAGAGAACGCCTGCTTCAAAGTCAGCATGATCTCATCCACCTGCAAGAGCAAAATACATCCATCCTTCATCACACAGCCTTTTGATAATTTGGCAGTGCATTTATCTGTTTTGATTCTACCACACATTAGCTGTTTTTGAAAACTACCATAAAGATTAGAACAAATTCAACACCTTCCCCATTCTCGATCAAATTACAGCACATTTTTAAATACTTAAGATCCATTCTGTTTCTGTGCTCAGAACTGCCCTTTCCTAAATTGCAGATATTATATCTTTGCAGTATATAACTAGTAGAAGTAAAAATAAAAGTTAAGTAAAAAGGATATGCAGTTTTCCCCACACATAGTCCAAGTTTAAAAAGCCCAGTGAATCATTATTTCAACAATTACAGTAAGTATCTATCTAGTATAAGCCATCACACTGCAACATTAGCTGACTATTATACAGAAGAGTACGTCCACCTAATGACCAGGGCGGTTTATCAAAAGGACAGTCCATTTGGCACATGATGACTCAGTGGAGCAGAGATGCTCTGAGTCATAGGTCTAAAGAATTAGAGCAGCATTTAATCTTGATTGATAGAAAACAACATTGGAGAAAAATATCCGCTTCACGCACTGTGGCGTTCAGATCCAAAGCAAACTTGCGATGTGTTAAATTAAACTGAGTGGGCTGATGAAATGTGAACACTGAGTGGGAACTGCTGATATGGAAATAAATGGATATGTGACATTAGTTACAGGAAATACACAATAATCTGTATTGTATTCACATTAACAATGATAAAAAGACATTTCTAGGTGTGTAGATGTGCATAATAAATAAGTGAATGAATGACCTATTTGGAGTTTTGCTTTGTTAATTGTGTTGGTTAAAGAAAATACTGGATGCAGTTTAACTAGAACAGTCGCCCTGCGGTTGTATGCCTCTGCCAACCAGTCAAGTTGCAGTTCGAGGTCTGTCCAGACTAATATATGTAGTGAATACTTGAAAATAATTGAATAAAAAGGTAAAGAGAGTGTATTTTTTGGCTAAATGGAAGTTATCACTATATTGATGATACATATGTTTGATTCCAGTGAATACACATAGTTGAACTGATTAATGAAGGTTTATCAGATTTATATATATTGGCTACACAGGTACACATGCACCTTATTACTATTTAAAGATGGACTCTTATACAGTATAAAGCTACACAATGTGCTGCTTTTGCATTCTTCTAGATCTCTATGAGCTGCAGGTAAAACTCACTCACACAGCTCGGCGTGCACCAATACGTTGTTTGCAGTCACGTAACTCTGATGAAACTCAAAATTCAGAATGAGGCAGGAAGTGAAGGGCAGAATCCTAGTTATTGTTTACAAGTCAACATGTGTGTGTGAAATCTGGAATAGCCCAATTCATTCTTAAATTATGGCTAAAACCCTATTCTAAGGCCACAATGACCTATTCAATGTCCGGTCACCTGTCAAATAAGGTCACAATCTTACCTTCTGTTCCTGAGTTATAGTGTTGAATTTTAGCCAAAAGGGTGTTTTTCCAGGACATTTTGAGGTCAGTGACCTTGACCTTTGAGTCAAAAGTGTTACAAATTCAATGTCCAACCAAGTGTGAAAAACGGTAATCAATTTTTGAGTTGGCCAAAAATGTGTTTTGTGAGGTCATAGCCACCTTGACCTTTGACAACCAAGGTCCAACCAGACAACCCCAAAACATACTGCCTCCAGCCACGGCTATTGTTGGCTCAGAAACATAAAAAAAAAAGGGGGAAACACGTATGCATCATGTTTTTTTCAACAACATATCCCATCCTTCTCTTGCCATGTTCTACTACGCTCTCCATTCATGATCTGTCTCTCACCAGTGATTCGTCAGTGCACTGGAAGACATAGCAGACAAAGTGGCAGCTCCCTCCTTCCACGGTCTCCCTGCAAATAAAGCCAAAGTGATCCACGTGACGAATACCCTAGAAAGAAAAGACCACGTGGTTTGAGGGTTCAGCATTGGTTTCAAAATCACACACAAGCCTAAACAGACAATTGCGTGTAGAAACACAGGGCTTCATACCTGTGAGCAGAAGGATATTTCCCTGAAACTCTTTTCTATGGCAACTTTCTTAGTGTCTGGACTAACCAAGAAGACCTGAGACCGGCCCACCTAAAACAAAGAACAAAAAACACAAAGACAAAACAGTTTCGTATCTCTCTGTATCTAAATGTCTCTGTGTTTCATAGGCTTGCAGTCCGTGGTGTGTGCTTCTGAGTGTGTGTGGTCCTATCTCATATAAAGATATGTTAAATGGCAAAAAAACAGTATCAGTTAAAAGTACAAGGCTTGACCAATGATTATGTGTTTTAAAATAGAGGCTTAAAAGGAACTTTAACTAACTTTTTGTAATTATGGGATTTTTCAATTGAGGCAGTTTCATTTCTTCTCTTCTCAAAAAGTATCAATTCATTTCAGGACAGTTCCGCTTTAGGGGATATGTCCAGATTCATACCATCATTAGGACATGACTCACTATCATTCCAAAACCTCAAAAAGGGACTTTAGTGGTTCATAAAAAGCAAGTGGTCTCATGTCTGTTAAATCCCAAGTCTTCGAGCCCTGTGATCACAGCTATTCTTTCTGTGAACGAGGCCTATATTGTACTTTCCAGAGCAGCAGTAGGGTATATCTTCAGTGTCAATAATATGTCTGTATTTGCTGACTGGGACGGCACCAGGCCCTGGTGGTTCCTGTGCCAGTGGTCACCATTTCCCGTCTGGAGGACAAACAGGAAAATTCCTGTTGGCAGGAGGTCACCGAGGTCAAAATAAGGTGAATTAGGGTAGCATGACTGAGCTGACTTTGAGCAGCAGTCAGCATTTGCTCTCGCTGAGTCATTAGGGGATTTATATTTTTGTCTTTTTTTTATTCTCTCCTTGTCTGTCCTACATGTGCGACTGCGGTTGAGGACTTGTTATTAATAATCCAAATAATAATATCCAAACTTGCACTTTACTGCGCTACAAAGTTCTCTTTGCCATCTAAACCATTGTGCGTGAGCTGTAAGGACTCACACTATACCTCGAAAAAGCAGTGTCCTTATATAACAGTTGGAGGTGCTAATTGATGTGCAATATTGCTGAATGCTTTTAACCTAAATCTGAAACAATCAATTACAAATATGGTAATCATTTTTTCTCCATAAAGAAAAGGGCATCTTAACATAAAAACGTTTTCTAAAAATATATATTTCTGTAATTTTACCATTGGTACAAGCCTTTCCTGTATTGCGATGCACATACTGAGCATAAGACTGCTGCAACACCCAAAATAATGTTTTCCTTCTGTAACTCACAGGTTTTAGTCATGGACCCATTGTCCCAGGTCTGGTTGCCTGACGAAGGTCAACAGAAATTTTCTTTTGCACAATGTAATTTTCTTAATCAGCTAGTTTTTCTTTCTGTAACTAAAATCCAAGGTCCTGTGCACTGTATTGTGTGAGTGAATCAGCGCAAGATTATTAAAGGTTGTGTAGGTGTGTCCCACTGGGGAAGAGGACCTGTGACTGGCTGTCCTATACACTGTCTGAATCACATTACTGTGACAAACTGACACCACCTTCCGTGTTGTGTGTGTGTGTGTGTGTGTGTGTGTGTGTGTATCACATATATGTCACATATATTAGATTTTTTGATTTCTTTTAATGTACTATAACCACCAAATAAAGAGATGGGATGCAGAGTAATTAGGGTCAACCTGCTATTGTGTGTGTGCGTGTAAGCATGTCCATTCATGAAAATCACCGTAAACAGCATGGTCCTGTTCTCCTTCAGGCTGGTGGGCTGTACTCCAGCAGAGTGGGCGTGTGCATCAGTAGTGCTGGTGTGAGAGATCTCTGGTGAGAGTCCATTCTCATCCAGGGCCTGCAGACAGGGAAAGCTGGGGTCTCTTTTAAACAGGACAGGTCGCTTCCCAGTGGTCGGGCTACCTGCAGCACCATTACCAATGCCATCACTCCCGAGCCCATTGGGTGGCAAGGTTAACGCCCTCCTCAGCCCACCCACCAATCCCCCGCTATTTCTCCCTTTATCACACGTCCCTGAGCCATGTGACTGGCTAAACTTCTCGATGCACTCATCAATCAGGGCAGGAGGGGCCTTCTTGTCAGCAACGCTCACACGGCCGCAAAACAGCACCTCGAACTTCTTGGCAAATGCTGTCGGAGACACCGCAGCAGAGGGTGCAGTTGTGGAGAGAGAAGAAAAACATTTTTCAGAGGGATCGCTGCCTCCTGAGGAAGTTTTGTTGGAAATGGTGGTGATGTCATCGTTGCGTGCCGAGCTCTTGCCAGCCTGCCTCAATGTACTGATTATCTCAGGAACCTGGAGGGATAGCAAGCAGGAGATAAGAGCTTGTAACCACTGTAATAAAACTTTTAAAAAATGGATGACAATTAATTTTACAGGTCCAACATAAAGTTATTCTGAATATGATCACACCCATTTGAGCACATGAAAAGATAAACAACCTTGAAAACACTGGAAATAATGTAAAAATACATGCAACTTATAGTAAAATGTGTTATAACACTGTGGTCGTCTATGCAGTCCTTTCAGGATGCTCTTTAATGTGGCACCTCAGGGCACTTAGTTTCATAAATATTAACTGCCCTCTTTATTTCTATAGGTGGTATTTGACTGGGTGCTCATATTGCCCTAGCACTGATCCAGAAGTAGGAGTCTGCCTACCATAGCAATAGTGGGTAAACATTGAAATAAACAGTAAATACATACTGCGTGAACCACAAATGTTCCATTTGCCAATGTACAGTAGATGCCACACCTCTAGTGAAGTCAAGTCAATTTTATTTATATAGCCCAATATCACAAATTCGCCTCAGCGGGCTTTACAATCTGTACAGCATACGACACCCTCTGTCCTTAGACCGTTATGTACCCTGTTGGTTTGTGGACTACTGTTTTGAAGCCTCGAGCATGGCATTTTGGCTGTAGCCATCTTGGGTTTTTTGGAAACCAGAAGTGACCAAATTTGGACAAGAGGGTGGTGCTTGGGAGGGTTACGTATTGCTATGCCTGACAGGTTGCCATGGTAGCATCTTGTCAAAACCAAGGTAGCCACACCCTAAAGCATACACTGCTTTATTGTCTATTTTACCCTAAATGGAACCATAATTTACTAAATGAACATTATGCTGTATCAATGAAGACTGAGACCATAAACTTACTGGGAAAGCTTTTACTGAATAATAAATCAAGTGAGAAGTAGGGTCATTTTGTCATGGACGTCTATAGAATCGTAGAGGAGGGATCCCTCTCCCAGGACACTATGAGCTCACCTGCCATATAGTGTGATGTGTTATGGTTCCCTGGAACAAAGCAGCCCTTGTCATATCTTCCTGTGTTTAAAAGGAGCCGTATTGAGACCTTTTCGTCTCAAAGCAAGCTTTGTACTCACTTTCTCTTTATTTGATCCCTTCTTTCCTTTCCTCCTGACCCCTCCTTTCCCTTTTTCCTCTTCACTCCCTATAAAATTTGGTTACCCATTTTTTTCCCTCTGTAATGTCTACTTTTATTTCTTATAAAATTATTTAAAGCTGAATGTTTACCACTATCTCCGTCTTGAGTGTATTTTGGCTTTTTACATGCAAGCTAAATGCTCTTAGCACACCATTGTTTGAGTGTGTGTGTGAGTGAAAGAGAGACAGGCAGACCTTTACAAAATGGATATAATTTAAGAAGAAAGAAAATACTCCTAGTCTGCTCTGAAGATCCATCACCTTTGACCACTTTGACCATCATCCATGCCTACTTATCATTTTGGCATTAACGCAAAAATACTTATATACACACAGACACAGAAACGGGTGTAGTACACACATCGACATTCACATTTTAACAGGAACTCAAAATGCAACTGACAAAGAAAAGGAGAGCAGAAATATGATTAACACCAATGCTCCAAAACACATATTATACAATAACCAGCTGGTGTGTCAAGTCTCACAGAGCCAGCATAAAAACACAAAATGACTGAAACTGAAAGTATTTTAATTTCAGTGAAAGTTTCAATAAAAAAACATACAGGAACAACACTGCTGTTCACATGTTTGCCAAAAACACGAGGCCAGAGTTTGCTGCAGCTGTTTACTGCTGATGTTGTGTGTCCCTGCTGAACTGGCCTTACTTCGTTTACTTAAATCTTAAAGCAGCAATTACAGATTTTTTGGCCACTAAGCTGTAATATCACTTACATATTATTGCCTTATTAAATGGTTGTGCGGAACATGTCAGTAAACATCTGCATATTTACATATCTAGCAGATAACTAGCTATTAGCATTCATTTAAGTCATCTTTCTGGCAACCTGGAAAATTAAGTCTAATATTTACTCTTCTAGCTTTTCGGTCTACATTTCCTCTCAAGGGGTAGCAGCTAAATACTTTTCTTTGTTTGCCAGCTAGCTGCTAACTTTGTCTGTCTGCCATTTGGTGCTGAGCAGGTAGGGTAAAGTGAGTTCATCAAAGCTGTGGCTGAAAACAGCTGTTTCCTGCAGCCATAAACAACGGTATGAGAGTGTTGTATGACAGTACACTAAAAGGGGAACTGCAGAGTCACTTGACGATTATCTGCGGGTTTGTCTGCATGAGGAACATCTTTCACATTATAGGCAGTCATCTGACCTATTAATATTAATAAGTGCAGTTTTCAAATATGTATTTTTAAAGCAGTTCGTCAAAACAAAATGTAACACGGCGAGTTGAAAATGTTCACTCGAGGAATTACCCACACTCACTGCCATTCATAAACTTTATTCAGGAAACAGCAATCAATTCTGTGTTGATTTTGTATTATTATTACTTGCTGTGAATGTTGTTTATATACTCTATGTAAACACGAATCTTAAACTTCACAGATGCAAGCCTGTATGGTAAAAAATAAAATAAAAAAGCAGCATCGGAAATAGAGCCGAACAGCAGAAAATGCTTTGGTGTCCTGGATATTGTCGCAGATTAGATTAGACCGTTCATTATTCCCACACCACACTATCGCACAAAAATAATTTCTCTGTAAAATAAAGAACATTCCCTGGCTACCGCATATATTCTGATCATTTATAGATTTATTTTTTATTCTTATTTCTTCGTTTTGTGATGCACATGTTGCTATACTTTCAAACCTGCGCTGGTCTGCAGATACGTGGACATTGAGGATTGAATGAGGACAGCCTAGAACTAATGAACCGTAACTCAGGTCTACTCGCACAAAAATCCTTTTCTGTAAGCACGCTTTTCCGTGACTAACATAGAGGATTTCCATGACCGTTATAACACTCTGACACATTGCCTGTACCAGTTTTAAAAACAGAAAAAGTATGTAAAGAGAGAAGTTAAAAAAAAAAAAAAATCCCCCCGTAGTCTTGAAGTGTGGCTATTTTGTTTCTGTGGCTTTGGTCAGCGTAAATTCACGTTAGTTAACCTACTGGAAACAGCCATCTTTTTCCAGAAAAAACGCCTTAAAAAACATACCTAAAATGAATCAGGAATAACTCCTCAACCATTTGGCCTAGATGCATATGCATGCATTCTGGTCTCCTTTGAAAGGTCTGAAGCTAAGGAATATAAATACATTGTAAATTAACATATTTATTTTACCATTACAGACTAAATAGAGATGCAATGAAGAAAAATATGATATTTTCATCCTCACATGGTAAAAAAAGCTATATTTTAATGCAATAAACCATCAAAACATCAAATAAATTATAATGCAACTGAATATCTTTTAATACACCTGGAATGAAACTGTAACTGTAAATTTGATGAAAGTAAACTAAACAACAGTTTATCATCATACAATTATTATCTTTAAAACACTATTTATGTCCATACAACCACGTTCCAAATAACAAAAAGCTTCCAAAACACTGAAATATTGATAAAAGCTAGGGCTGCACGACTAATCTAATCGCATTGTCATTATGTGCGATTACATAACCGCAAAAAGTGTGCGATTTAAGCAGAAAAAGTGTGCTGTGTGTGAGGCTTTCCTCTCAGTTTGAACTACAGGCTGCTCATTATCTATCAAGCTGAGCCTCCTAGCCTCACAGAGGTGTGTAGTATGGATAGGGTGGTACAGGGGGCATATTCAAAATATCTTTAAACCACTAAAACGCAAGAGTATAAAAAAAAAAAAAAAAAAAGTGATATCCAGCATGTATCAGCTACCATAGTCATTTAAAATAAAATGACCAGCAACACAGTAAAAACCTGCAATTGTGGGATCTAATTTCACCACAAGTTCCTTTTGGTTTCCAAAGAGCCAATTACACATGTCACTCTAATCTGTCGGCACACTGATGACCTGTGTTTCGCTTGGTGATCTTTCTTCTCTACAGCAGGGACACTGTGCCGTAGCCTTGTGCTGATAATTCGCAACAGTTGCAACATCAACATTGCAACTAAAAGCCGACATACAGAGAAAACTCCCAGATCTTCTTAGCAAAACAACTGACTCAATGCAGTGAGGTAGACTGCAGCCTTAAGCTGAGTGAGTGACCAGTGGTTCCTACAGAAAGGACAGAAGCAAGCCAACATTTTCTTACAGCCTACATGTGTCTTTAAATGTTTTATATATTTTCTACTTTAATCACTTCACAAATTCACCAACATTTCCCAATAACTTCCTCTATATAAATACACAACAGCAACAAACACACACACACAGAAAAAAGAACCCAGGCTAAGTCTAACGGGGAAGTTTGCATTGTGCAACTAGCATATTGAGATCATTTTGCTAAATAGTGTAATATTTTGTCAGCCCTTGCATGGTAAGCGCCAGTTTTGCTTAGGCAGGAGGATCAGAGCCTTGGGTCATCTGAGAGAAACAGTTCTGCCGTTTGACAGGATTCTGAGCTTGACTTCCTTGCTTTTATTTATTTATTTTTTTAAACAAACACTGGACAAAAGATGTTATGCTACAAAAACAACATACAAGTCAGACTATAACCTTTGGCTGCCAATAACCACATGGCTTCTATTGTGGGCCCGGTTTGCTACACCATATCGGCAGTGTACCCAACCAAGGGAAAAAAAAGGAGGAAATGTAAAAGCAAAGCAGAAGCAGTGGTTGAGTCACGTCACTGATGTCATTAATGTGAGATGCCTGGGCAGCAAGAAAATCTGCCGTCTCACACACAGACACACACTTCCAGCCGGGTTCTGCTGTGTCTTGCATCGGTATGAGGCGTGCTCACTCATGTTCTTTTATCCAAGCAATACCTGTCTCACACTTGATTCTTTGTTCCATCTTAACTGGAAGCTGCTCTGGATAAATGCATCTGCTAACTTCCCTAAGTGTAAAGA